AACGCGTATTGTTTATTCTTTTCTCTTTTACACCGTCAATTTGAGATTTATTTACATTCATTTATTATTACACGCAGTCTTCGTCTTTTCTCTTATTATTTTATTTTATTTTATTTTATTTTATTTTATTTTATTTTATTTTATTTTATTTTATTTTATTTTATTTTATTTTATTTTATTTTATTTTATACGTTTTCTATTATTTTCTACATTTATTTATATTCTATTCTATTTATTTTATATTATTTATTTTCTACATTTATTTATATTCTATATTACTTTAGTATTTTTTCTAATATTTAAAAAAAAAAAAATTACTAATTACTTAAAAATTAAATATTATTTATTAATTATTCTCTATATTACTTCTATATTACTTTACTACATTTATTTATATTACTATATTTATTTTATACTATTTCTATTATTTTCTACATTTTTTTTATTCTATACTTTTTCGTCTTCGTCTATTATTTTTCTTTGTTTCTTCCCCTTTTGACTAATATCTTTTTTTATTTTATTTATTTTATGATCATATATAAATATGAATATAATAATTAATTAATTATATTAAAATTTCGTATATAAATAATAAATAGATTAGATTTACATGAGATATATATCAGATACTAACTCTAATCATACTCATAGAAGAAAGATTATCGTGATATCTTGAGAAATCATTTCTTTTTTAATTACATGAAATTACTTGTTAAATTGCTATTAAATGACCTTTTTTTCTGTATTTTTTGTTTACGGTACGTTTAACTTCTCAATAATTGAAATTCTTCTCTGATCATGAAGCGTAAAGAAAAAGAAGAAAGAGAAGGGTTGGTGGGGGTGAGAGGGAGTCATAAAAAAAATATTAAAAAAAAAAATAAAATAAAAAATAAAGGTAATATAAAGAAGAAAAAAAAAAAAAGAAAAAAAAATAAGGTATGCGCAGAAAGGAGAACACGCATTCGAATCGCCGTGGAGACGCGCAGTATCAACATTACAACGTTGATTACTGGTATTATGACAACTTCCTCGCGAACGTACTACTCTCTAGGACTACCAACCTACCTGCCTTACCTCTTGCTTTACCTTACTTCTTCTTCTTCCTCCTCCTCCTCCTCTTCCTCCCCCACCTCCTTCTGCTGCTTCTTCTTCTTCTTCTTCTTCTTCCTTTCTCTGAGTAACGAGACTACTCCTTGTGCATGACGTGCCGAGTGCACGCCTAACCATCACATTCGTACCGTCATCGTCTCTTCTTCGATGCATTTAAACTCGCACACCCGGTACATCATATAAAGAAAGAAAGAGAGAGAAAGAGAAATGTGCACCTGCAGACACCGGTGATCCCTCGATGATGTATATACCACACGCACGATTCTCTCTCTCAACGCGGAACACAAAAAAATTCTCTTGACAACCTCTAACCGCATGTTATACGTTTAGTTCTCATATTTCTTCAACCTTCCACCTCGTCTCACACAACGTTTTCTCCTATTTTGCCCTAGTTCTTCTTCTTCTTCTTCTTCTTCATCTTATTCTTATTTATTCTTTTACTTTTTCATCCCCCTTTTCAAATTACCAACCTTCTTTATAAAGTTTTATGAGAATACTAGGGGTGCCTCGGCCACGCGTTGCTGTGGCTCACAATCAGTCCGATACAACACACGTCTTTAATTAAAAAATTTCAAACTTTTTGGAATAAGCTGTAACAATCTGGACCGTTTTGATTATGGAGGGTAGTAGAGGTAAGGAGTAACATCTCTGTATATGAAAAGTGTCCATCGAAATCGAACCAATTGAGGTGACGCCACATTAGTATCATGGTAAATTTTAAAGGAAGCGTCAAATATTATTAGAGTAGGATTGAGAAATAAACAATTACAATACATTTACAATTGCTACATTCATACCATACCAATTGTCTACACCAGCGCCATTCTGGAAAGTTTTTGAACTGTTATTTATAACATACGCTGGACACTTTTTCAAATTTTCTCCCATATGAGATGATACTCCTTACCTCTACCCTCCATAGTTTTGATAAACATTTTTATTAAAAAGTTATTACAAAATCTAACGTCATCTCGAATATCGACTAACTTCACCCTATAAACTTTACGATTTACAAACTGGAATCGAATAACTTTGATTATCGACTCGAATATTCTCTATAACTCGAATTATCGACTAACTTCAATCTATAAACTTTTCGCATAACAATTTATAAATAAAAAATTAATTAAATAAACAACTTAAATTGGACCGAATTGTAACGCTAAACCATTATCGAATCCACCTTAAGACACACACAAAATTTCATTAAAACCGGTCCAGCCGTTTACGAGGAGTTCAGTGACATACATACGCACAGAAGAATTATATATATATATATATATATATATATATATATATATATATAAAGATAACTATCTTCAACTATATATCTTTATACTTTAACACTAGATATACCAGACCAGTTATTTTGAAGTCTCAAAAAGCATTTTTTTTGTACACCAATTCATTTTGACTAGTGTGGTAGAAATAGGTATATTGAAAATGGCGGGTGGTATATCAGTGTTAAAAGAGATGCGTTTTTCATTTATCAATAATAAAAAAAAATTACGCAAATTGTGCGCAGGTAAATCAGAAATTTTGATATTTGATATGCGTTGATTGTTTTTCTTTTTTGGAAGCCTCAAAAAGCAATTTTTTTTTATACACCAGTTCATTTTGACTACTGTGGTAAAAATAGGTGTATTGAAAATGGTGGTATATCTAGTGTTAAATTGACTCTCAACGTGTAATAACGTATCTACTCAATTACATCTTTTTATTACAATTAATTATAGACTTATTTATATTTTTATTCGATATTAAATAAAAGAAAATAAATATTTGAATATAAATATTTTTTCTTTTTTTTTTTGCGGGGAGTATCTATTCGAAATATATAATATTTATAATATTGGGTTGGCAAGATAGTAATTTCGGCTTGCACCAATTGATAAAGTTATGTTTGTTTCGTTATTCTTTTGTTAATGTTAGAATTTTGTTCTTTTGAACAAGTTTGGTAGTTGACACTTTTAGGTTGCTATAGAAACAAAATTCAATGTTAATTTAAAAACAATTGAGTTTTATTTCACACTAAAAAACCAAAATGACTTTCTTGCCAACCCAATATATTAAACGTGTCTCTTATTGGACATACGTACAAACGCCATCTATATATTTTGATCGTAATCGAGTAGCTCTGAAACTTGATTTAGCTATGGTAAAAACACCATACATATCATAGGACCATATCATTGACAAAGTGTAAATTGCAGTAATTAATCAAATATTAGAACAATGTTACGCGTTCATTAATGGTGGATGATGAAAAATGAGATCGTTTTGAAATATGAATGTCGGTCAATAAAAATGAGAAAAGTACTGGCATAAATAATTGTATATATCAAATATAATATCTATTATAGGTACTAGATCTTTTTCTTGATGTTCTAGCGATTAGAACGATCTAAAACACATTTACGTTTACGTATAGAATACATATATATATATATATATAAAATAAAAAGAAAAGTAACAACGTCTCCTCGGTGAACGTCTCGGTAAAGATGGGGACGATCGTGGACGATCGTGGATGATCGTGGATGAATGTAATGGACTTACGTTGGGACTTATCCGTGAAGAGTCAGTAAGAATATTAGCAAAGAAAAGCGATGGCTGGCCACCCCCGGAGGCATCAGAATGCGTAACGAATTGCTAAATGAAGAACGGTCATCAGTGACTGGCGCGCTTCCTCTTCGCCGCCGGCTTGCTTCTAGTTTATTTGGTTCCGTTTATACAGCTCGTGTCAACCTGAGACGACCGAGTAATTTAGTGTTAAAATATATGCTCCGTTCTACTCTCTCTCTCTCTCTCTCAGAGTAGACTCGGCTACTTCAACAACAACAACAACAACAAAAAATCAAGGACTATAAGGATGAAGAGAAAGAGAATAAAAAACATCATCCGAATGGAACATTAATTCCAAGAGAATGCGGAAAGCGATTCATCACGTGGCATATGACAGTACGATAAACGATTTGAAACGGTAAAGAAATGTAATCTACTGGCTTCGAAGTACGCCCAAACAAATTTACTTAGTTTTATGTGTGATGGGTAATAACTAAATCGTAGGGAAATAAATTAATATAAGTACGGAGTTTTTTTTTTTTATTTATTTATTTATTTTCTTTATTTATGTCTATTAAATTTCCCGCAAAATATAAATATTTAAAATGGCGATTGCGCGCGATATTGACAAACTTACTTTGGTGCTGCCATCTGTCGACCGTTAATCTAACTACGATTAATCTTGGAAGTATTATCGGTAGGTAACTACTATCTTATTGATTTGAAATTTATTTTTTTTTTTTTTGCAAAATACGATAATCATTTCACAATAAATTATTGAATTTTAAATCGAATATCTGTGTACAATGTTATTATTAATAAAAAAAAAAAACAATTGTAATTATCATAAATCGTACGTAGGAAAAAAGAAAAAAAAAAGAAAGGAATGAATATATAGTTGAGACAAAACAATGTTGCTAATAATACATGTTTATGAATTTTATTGAAAGTTTTTAATATCTTATATTATTAATTTAATACGTATTAGAAAGCATCAATGTCTAAAAACACGTTAGAACAATTTTCTCTCGTCACATTACTTAATAAAATAATAATACTGATAAGATACAATCTTTGTTTAATGCACAATCGAGGTAGCAGACCATTGAACGGTAACAATGAATCTGAAAAAGCTCTCTTACATTATAGCATTATCTAAATATCGACATTTATAGATTGAAATTAAAAGTAAAGTTAATAGTAAAAAAAATATATATATATATGTATATATATAAAACTATAAACAAACAGTTTGCACAATATACAACACAAATAAGTACATCGTTTAAAATTCTATAGATATCGAAGCGTAGCTGTTTTTTTTCTTTTTTTTTGTTTTCTTTTTTATTGTCGTCATATTTAACGCGTTAATTAAAAATGCAGCAGTAATGTTTGCTCTTAAATACCGATATATATATATATATATATATATATATATATACGATTACTACCCACGTATTAAAAATATATATTTCGTTAGAAATATAAAATAGAACAAATCGATAAATAAAAATGACGATGTCGTCGTCGTCGTCGTTGTTGTAATTCGACGAATAGGGCAAGTTTGACTGTGTATGTATATATATATATATATATACACGTATTATCATAAGACGAATAAACGAGAAGAGAAGAAAACTACGATAATTTCGTCGGAAGATCAACTGGTCTTATCCAGTTTGATTTATAGCAATCATTGCGTGAGTGCGCTCGAAGGTGCACTTCGTTAGAAAAATTTGTCAGAGCGGCGAGCGGCGAGCGGCGATCGAAAGGACAAACATATTAAACTGACGCTCGAAATGAATCAACCAAATTTGCATACTGCTGCTCAAGCAATACTTTCACTCAACTCTTTGAAATCATCCATTTGAATCGGTATATTATTAATGGTACGGATTTGAGAACATCGATAACAGAGACAGTGGCCTTTCTCTCATTTTGGGTTGTTGTTTTTTTTTTCTTTTTCATTTTCATTATCGTTTTTTTTTATTCTTTTTACTTTCACGTTCAGAGTGCCTTCTTTTCGTCCTAGAAAAAATCATTTCGAAAAGAAAAAAAAAAATATAACCGTTAGTAATAAAAGGTATCATAGATTTATCTAGAAAAATAATCAAATGACTTACTACCATAGGATAAAGGAACGTTGTCGCACTATCTTCTTGGTAATCAGATTTGGCATAACAGGTCAAACTTCCCATGTCCGTCCATTTGAGCGGATCTATCACCAGATCTCCATTTCTTAAGATCTTGTATCGTGGATTCGAGGACGAATGTATAACAGCATTGTTATTGTCCAACCAATACGTATATGGTCTTAGTTTGCCCGTAGCTCTACATGGCAAAACGACCGTAGATCCAATCAGAGCAAATCTCATCGGTGAGTGTAAAGTTATCGTTGGTTTATTTTCTCCGATACAACTGTTGTTGTTTCCATTATCTTTATCTAAATCATTAGAAAAACAGACAAAATGTACAATACTAATGTCTTTACAATTTTTTTTTTTCTATTAAAATATAAAATATGTAAAAAGATTAATTACCTTTGACCAAGAGTAAAGTTGGACTTGACAATTGCATTTTTTTCCCGGCTACAGATGCGCAATAAATTAAGCCTTGATCGTTCGGTGTAACACATTCTATGACGAGTTTCGAAACAACCTGACCCAGTCCTTCCCAACCGTCGGAAGAAATCTCAAGATCCGCCGTACTTTTACCCAGGAACTCGGTTAGCTAGAATGCAAAAATATATCAAAGTTACATCATGCTACATTTTAACGGAACTAAACCCCAGCCGGTAACATATGTATTATAGACGTTCTTTTTAACAGTCTCTCTCTCTCTCTCTCTCTCTCTCTCTCTCTGTGTGTGTGAAAGAATTTCGAAGACAAAAAAAAAAGTTATAACAAAAAGAGTTAGACGTTGGTCGAGAAAAAAAAAAAGCAAAAAAAAAAAATCGGAATATTAATAATTCAATATAGAAAATGTATTGTCATCGTTATCCTTACAATGTTCCAATTCATTAACGAAACTTGTATTCTACACTTGGCAGATCCCAATTATCCGGTGGATCTCAACAATTTAACCGGCCCGGCCCGGTCCCGATTAGACCGGTTAATCAAGGTCCTACTGTAATATGCATATTGTTAGAGGTCAACTGCTCTGCGCGGCATTCCTCAATATCGAAACTACTTTTATATATATATATTTTTTTTCTTTATTTTATTTCATTTCTTTTTTCTTTTTACTTATCTCTCTACTTTTTCAATCTATTTCTTTAGATGAAGAGATAGATAAAATATAATCGTGTCATCTCCCAAGACCGGACGAATGACAAACAGTATTATTGCGATTCTCAAGCGACAGGACATCGTTTATCACGTCCAAATTTATGTCCCTCTCTCTCTCTCTCTCTCTTTTTCTGTCTTATCTTTTTTTTTTCTTCTCTTTCTCTCTTTCTTTCTTCCCTTCTTTGCTTACACTACCGATGATCATCCAGGCATACATATGTATATCAGCTGTGAAATCTAGAAATAATAAAAACCTGCTTTTCTGGATCGTTTCCTCTCAACCAAAGAATTTGTGGCGGTGGGCTGCCATTAGCTTCGCATCTTAACTCGATCCTATTCCTAAAAAATGAAATGATCGTGATAAATAAATATAAATAAATAAAAGTCATAAAAGCCCACACGATTCTCGTATAGATAAGATCAGAAAAAATGATGATGATGATGATGATGATGATGATGATGATGATGATGATGATGATTATTATTATTATTATTATTATTATTATTATTATTATTATTATTATTATTTTACGATAGACTAACTAACCCGACTGTAGCAGTTATAGGACTCGCTGGGTTCTTCGTAATCTTCGTCCAATCTTGTTGGTTATCCTAAAAAAATAAAAGAAAAAGAAGATAATAGTGTTGCAATCATTTAAAAAAAAAAAAAAAAAGAACCCATTGATTTATTTTATATCGCAATACCTGTAAATTAATATCACCCGTTGCAACAGAATCATCGACGGATATCGAATTCTCGTAATTCTTTCCATCGTCCAAATGATTATTAATATCTTTGTTTAATCCAGAACGAGAATAGGCACGATTATGTGCCAACAATCTAATTATCGATAAAGGACTTCCGTAAATCATATTTGTGGTAACGATGACCACGAAAAGATTCGATGGTGTTAAGAAGAATCGCTTCATCTGTAAATATTGAAAGAAAAAAAAAATTAAATAAAGTTGGATTAATATCGTTACCATCGTAAACGTGATGAACCCAAAATGATGCAACATGCAATCCAATTACGAATCTGCGAAACCTACTGTATAGCTATATATACATATACATATATGTATATTATTTAATTTATTATTTGTAAAAGAAAAAAAATAAATATTAAAAATAAAACAATTATATTTCTCGTGCAAATTTGAAAAATGATGAAATTGAAAAATAAAATTATATATATATATATGAGCCGATGTTAGTGCATACAAACTTTGTACATATTTGAAAAGGACTTATCGATATATTTATTGTACAAATAGATAATGATTATTTTTCTAATCTGACCGTGGTAGTAACTCTTCGAACGACACAACCAATAGAAACTTTAAACGTGACACTTGAATATCATGGATTTGTGCAATTTGATTCTGGCCTTGTTACATCTTATTTGTATAAATCGCGATAAGAGAATTCCTCGTTGAATATATACTTTGAAATTATCGAAATGAAGAAAAAAAAGGCGGGAAAATACTTGAAACAGAGTCTAATTAAATGAATCACGTTGTCGTGATGAATAATAATAATCAGGAAAATTTCACAGTAGACAAATTCTATACTAGCCTTCGTAAAATAGATAGTTGTCAAATTTCTACGAACGTGTTTTAAATAAAACAAAAATGAAAAAAAAAAAAAAGAACAAAACGTGTGTTTGCATAGAATAAAACTTACCATAGTTGAAAATATTTTGGTGTAGACAAAAAAAAAGATTGACTTTAATGTCTTCTTCGTATTTTTGACAAGGAATGTTCAGGTAACACCGGCAAAGAAAGGATGACTGTCTGAATAGTGGAGAGGAGATATTGGCACATTTATATATTTCGAATGTAGCAGCCGGAGCCCTCGTTTCTTTCTGATTGGTTGCTGTCGAACGGAGTAGGGTGCCTACACCCACAATAACCAATTGAATTCATTATCTGTTCCTCTCACTCTCTCACTCTAACTCTTACTCTCTTTCACTCTTTCTCTCTTTCTCTTTCGCTTTCCCTTTCCCTTTCCTTCTCTTTCTCTCTTCTGTTTTCCACACTAACTTGCTTCGTTCATACGTGTAAAAAAAAAAAATATATATATATATATATACGTAGGTACGTACGTGCATATATACACGTATGTATTGCCATACAATTTCTACCCTCATCTATGGCATCGATTTTTTTTCATAAAAACGACGAGATAATTACTTTTATTGAAAGCGATTGCGAGAAGACGAAACGAAACGAAAGAGACTCACGTAATACGTATAATATACCCTTGTTCAATAAACTTGGACGAAATTTCCTAATTCGACTCCTCCTCCTCCTCCTCCTCCTCCCCTTACCTCTCTGAGGGTTCAAGTTAGGATATACGACGCGCCGATATGTCGCACAATTTCCGACTTCTTATTTAACAGCTCTAGGGGTAGTTTCTTCCTACCTTTACGCAGTTCAATTATCACCATGAATCTATATATATATATTAAATAGGAAACGCAAACAAGATTAAACTTTTACTTTTATTCTTTCTCTGATAATTGTCGCGTGTCGGTGATGTCATCGCGTTATCCTTAAAGATCTATGATTCTGATGATCATTAAAATTATTGGCATAAATCGAGTTTACGTTGCAACATTATGAATTAGAATTTTCAATAATTATTATAATGTAATATATTCATTGTTCTATCTTTTTTTATATTTCTTTTTTCTTTCTCATTAACTTAACATACGAAAAGTTGTATTGGATCAATTAATAAACAAATACTTATTCCACGATGACATAATTTCAATTACTCGACGATTTATAATCGACTGATATTTCTAATTTTCAAATAGTTATGTTAAATAAAGAAATAAGATGCTCGTCTGAAGTACAATGCTTACTTCGCATTATTTTGTATATTTATTTTCGCAGTATTAGCAAATATATTTATTATATTCGTCAATTAGAAATAACGCGCAATTTGATAAACTCGTGGCTATGTGAAACGAGTATCTTTCCTTTCTCTCTCTCTCTCTTTCTTTCTTTAGCACGCGCGCACGTTCCTAGTCTTTCTCTGTCTCTCTCTCTCTCTCTGTCCTTTTTTGTTCTTTGTAAAAAAGAAAAAAGAAAAAAAAAACGAAGCCATAGAGATGTGGCCAGGGCGAATGAATAAATTAAATTCTCTTTTGACATTGTGCCCGGCGAATCGCAATTTGTGTTTACGTTGTCAAGAGATCCAACTGAGATAATGCGCCTTCCTTCTGAATAGTCCATCAGAGAGAAGATTTTGTCATCAGCGGACGCATTCAAGCTATCATCTATATTCTTCTTCTACTATACGAATTAATCGATTCAATATTTTTCTAATAGTTTTATTATAGCGCAAATACGTAATACCGATCATATATATATATATATATGATATAATATATATATCTATATATAGATCAATTTATTGAATTACCAAACCGATTGACGTAAAATACCTATCGATTTTTATTGATTATCGATTTAATTTCAAAAGAAAAAAGTAATCTGTCATCCGAAGGAAAAGAATAATTTGCATTTTTTAAATAATAAACCAATAAGCACAGATAATAAATAAATAGTTAGAAAAATATTTGGTAAAAAAAATCGAATAACTTTGCAACATTTGTGTGTACGGCTAGGGAAATTATTTTATTTTATTTTCAATTTCCAATTTCAAATTAAAACAATATATATATATATATATATATATATATATATATATACACTTATGCAGTTGCATTTGTTTGTTCATAGATGACGCTACTTATCCCTTTTTTATTATTCCCTATAGATTGCATTTTCTTTTTTGTTTTTGTTTTATTTTTTTTTTTTTTTGTAATGTTACATTACAGTCTTCAATGGATGTATAAATATTTTTTCTAGGAGCAAAAAAAAAAACAATGTAAATTAAAAAGAGAAGAAAATTAAATAAAAATACAAATGATTGTTCAAGTATAAATGATCTCTTAAAAGGAAAGAATTAAAACCACAATAATGATATAAAATTGCGTCATTAAATGCGTACACTTTTGAATGTTGGTAAGACTACGTCAGGAAGAAATATTTGTCATGGCGGGCACAACACTCATACGTCAAGAAGCTTGAATGATTGAAGAAGATTAGATTAAAACGTACGGTTCATTTCGTGGAAAAGATTGAAATTCTAGAAAATGTAGTAAGTTTTTATTTATATTAGTAATATAAATCTTTCCATTAACGTTTTGTTCGTTTGAAAACGTGTTACGTCATTATTCCATACAAGATTGTAGATAACACTGTCATTTCACTTTCATCAAACAGCTGTGCGTTCAAATAACAATGACATAATAAATAAACTATATATTGTATTATCTGGTACTTAGTTTGATTATATTTAAAAATAATTCGTACGTAAGAAGAAGAAGAAGAAATGACACGCAATACGTTCTTACGTTTGACTTCATTTTGTAATATATGTGTATACATGTATATACATCTGTTTATGTTGTGTGTTGGCATATGTACATGTAATATGTATAATACTACTCATTGCTTTTTCTCAGAAATAAAAAAAAAATCTCCCCGTATTAGTGCCAGAATTTCCGTATACTTACTGGTATATCGTATCATTTCATATATTATTGCATCACATTGAATTGGATTAACAATATTTAACAATAATTTGTAGATATGGAGTCGTTTCTGGCATTATTTGACCCAGACGATGAGAAAAATATTATAAGAAGTACGTGGGACGATTTGGAAACTAAAGAAGATGCGTCTGATTGTGAAAATGACAGTGTTGATGAAGGTGAAGAAGAAAAGTTACCACCTGAACCGGAACAAGGCAATGTTGAATATAAATTGAAATTAATAAATCCGTCTAATCAACGATTTGAACATCTTGTTACGCAAATGAAATGGAGACTTAAAGAAGGCCACGGGGAAGCAATTTATCAAATTGGTAAAATTACAATAGATTTGTTTGAAAGAAAAACAAAAAAAATGGTTAATAAAGTATCTGACTTTATCGTTTAAAAATAATATCTCTAGGAGTTGAAGATAATGGAAGATTGACTGGATTATCAAAAGATGAATTGAAGGCATCTCTGAAAACTTTAAAAGAAATGGCTTCCAGACTAGGTGCAACAACTTGCGTGCTTCGTGAAAGAGTTGCTATTTCTAAATATAAAAATATGAAGGACAAACAAAATGACGAGGAAAGAAGAGTGGCCGAAGTTTTGGTGAAAAAATTACGAAAAGATGATAGAGAGGATCAAGAAAGTGTCGTGGATTTAAGGCTTGCCGTAATAGGTGCTCAAGATGCTGGAAAGTCAACTCTCTTAGGTGAGAGGCTTAGCAGAGGACATTTAAGGTAGAGAAGTATACTTAAAGTTTGCTCTGCAATGATATTTTATTTATTTACAATATATTATATTAAATAGTATATTAGAGTTTATAAAAAGGAATATTTATTTAGGAGTGTTAACGCAAGGTGAATTAGATAATGGTAGAGGGAGAGCAAGATTAAATATGTTACGACATCTTCATGAAATAAAAACAGGTCGCACATCCTCCATTTCCCATGAAATCATTGGATTTGATAACGAAGGTCACGTCTTAAATTATGCTCAAATGCCAACGGCAGAAGAAATTTGTGAACGTGCTTCTAAAGTTGTTACCTTTATAGATTTGGCTGGATATCGCAAATATTTAAGAACAACAGTTTCAGGTTTAACCGGTAAAAGATTTGTCTCTTAACCCTTTGTCTCTTTTCTTTTTTACTTTTTTCAAATGAAATTAAATAATGAAACATTGTGATAGGATATTCTCCTCATTATGCGATACTGGTAATTGCACCACCAATGAATGAAGCATCGCAAGAACATATGGCTCTTTGCTTAACATTAAGACTCCCATTTTTCATTGTTTTAAATAAAACAGATCTTGGATTTTATAATACTCACGATACCTTGGTCCAACTAGAAAATGCAATACAAGCACATGGTTATAATAAACAATTACTACTATACAACATCAATAACAATATATCGCAGTATTACGAAACAGATATCATACCAGTATTTACAGTCAGTTGTGTTACTGGAAAAGGATTAGGAGAATTAACATCGTTTATTAGAGATTTACCACCATCTGAAACAAATCCTATCGATTCTGATCCAGAATCATGTTTATTTCAAATCGATGAAACTTTTAGGTAAGAATTATTTTGTTGTATGTTAAAATAATATTGCGTTATCTGAAATTGTTAGAAATACCTACCCCCACCCCTCTTGATTAAACGGTTAACATAATAGTAACGATTTTCCAGGGTTGCCGATTTACCCCAACCAGTTTTAGGTGGGTTACTTGTAAAAGGTGCAATAGCACCTGGAACACGATTATTGGTAGGACCTTTACCCGATGGCAAATTTAGTCCTGTCAAAGTTGCCAGTATACATCGTAATAAAGCTCCTTGTTGTTTGGTAAGAGCATCGCAAAGTGCCAGTTTAACTTTGGAACCATCTACTAACCGCAGCCCACCTCTACCACATTTTCGACCAGGCATGGTTTTAGTCTCTGTACGAGATAAGCCATATGGAACTTTATTTTTTCAAGTAATATTCTTAACGTATTTTAATTAATCGAATTGATTTTCACTTAAGTTCGTTTTTATATTTTGAAACATTTCATGTTTCAGGCTACTGTTTTAATTGTTTACCATGCTACTGCAATTTTTTCTGGTTTTCAAACTACTGTTCACGTAGGTAACGTAAGACAGACGTGTATAATTGAAGGTATAATGGATATGAAAGACAGAGGTCTACAGACAAATGACACGGCATCTATATTATTTAGGTTTGTTAGTCATCCAGAATACCTTCATGTTGGAATGCGTCTTTTATTAAGAGAGGGTCGTACCAAAGGAATTGGTAAAATTACACAAACTTTTCCATTAATTGGTTCGCAACATACTATACAGTAATTAATTAAAACAAATCCTTATATAACACAAATTAGCTACATAACAACAACAACAACACGTGTGCGTGTGCGTGTGTGTGTATGGTGTGTACAGTATAATGTTTTCAAGAGAAAGAAAATATGAAGTCTCTCATGTAAAATGAAAGTTGCGTGAATTTAAGAGTAAAAAATTAAATATAAAGAAAAACATATCTTCGTCGATAGATTTCAAGAATATCGGAAAGGATTATTACTTCAATATTTTCTAATAATAAAAAAAAAAGAAAGAAAAAAAAAACAAAATAAATTCTATGAAATAGAATTTTGATTTCATTAAAATATTTATTTAACAATTAAAAAAAAACGATAACTTTTAGGACTGTAGCTGACTTTAAAGGATTTACGTGTTACCAAGATTAATAAAATTTAAATATTACGTTTCATTAAATAATAGTATAGTATATATAATGTGCTTATAAAAAAAAAACAGTTTGATGAAAAAGATGTTACCATATATTTTTCTTATGTGTACAAAAAAAAAAAATACTATGTATTATATAATATTACAAATACTACTTTTCTTCTCCTTGTATTTCAATGAAAATATATCTCTCTCTCTCTTCCCCTAAAATGAATTTACCAAAATTCAAATATTTCTATAGAAATAAAATGAAAGTAGTATTCGTGGTATAAAAGAAAAGAAAATAAAAATAAACAGAAATACTTTTACATTTCTGGTCATAATATATATTTGTCATAAAACTTTTGATTATCAATAATAATTTACATATCTATGCCATTTTTACTTTTCCTTCGGATACAATAACTTCAGTCATTTTGTTAAGTTTCTTATTAAACTTATTCATAAATTTGTCATCCGTTATTTCATTTTGACAATGATTCGTGTATTGTACGTGTACTTTCTTTTGTAATTTCTTTAAAGATATTTCCCCTTTAATCGATACTATATTTAAAATAGTATTTTTCCAGCTAAACTTCATTCCTTCCGATGATGCATTTTCATTTTGACTTTCGTTAGCAGTTTCATTGGTAATTACAGTCTCATTGTCTAAATGACTTTTTTTAATAGCAGAAGAAGATTCCTCCTCCTCCTCCTCCTCCGTGTTTGCAGATAATGACGAGTGTTTTCTTTTCTTCGATTTTTTGTCTTTTTTAAGCTCTAATCCTTTGATACAATTATTGTCAGATAATTCCTTATTTTCGTTATCTTGTTTATTATCACATTTACTTTCTTTACATATATTTTCATTATTCTGATTTTCTGCTACATTATTATCCAAATTATTAGTCAAAGTTTCATCTTCTTTAGCCACTTCTTTTACTTTATGATTACCATTGGTCTCTAATAACATTTAAATAAAAAGATATAGAAAATATAGTAATATAATATTATCAAATCTAGAATTATTCACAAACTTACTTTCAATTTGTTCTTGCTTTACATTACTGTTTATTGATTGTTGATGGGCTTTTTCCATTTTGTCCCAAACGCTTTCAATGATTGACTTGTTCGTTCGAAATCCAAATGCATTATTAACAAAATTAATGAATTTCACTTTCTTCCTGGGTACGTTTTCACAATTTGACAAACCTTTCAAAAATTCTCTTTCGTCACGTGATAAGTCCGTATTTGTTTCAAGTACATTATTAACGACTTTAAGCCATTCTTGTTGTTTACGTTCACCCTTATTAGCTGCAGCCTTTGGAACATAGTTTTTACCACCATATCGTTCTGCCTCAGTTATACATTTTGTATGTTGTACATATTCCTGTTCACTTAAATTATATTCACCTTAAATTAAATTCGAAAAAATGTAAGTTTAAAAAATACAAATAAACAAATACTTACTGAAAATCTTTTAAACAATCCACACACGTTAAATAAGGCTTGTTGTAACACTGAAATTGATAATGCTTAGCAACACGTGGTTTTTGTAAAGTCTCCCCGCAATGATTACAAGTAAAAACAACCATATTTTTTTATTATAATATTCTAAGACAAATATGAAATAATATTATCAAAAGGAAAGGTTATATATTATTTAATAAGTTTTAATAAATATAATAAATTGTTTAAATGTCCATTAACTGTAGACGTTTTGAATGCACGTACGACTGCATAAATCCAACCTAGTCACAAATAACAGGTTATGTTAGCTCGAATGCACTCAAATTGCCGCCTTGAAAATCCAATCTTAAGTTATGGCGCGAAATTCAAATTGAATTGTTTGGCTTGAAAGCTATAGGTACAAACCTTTGTATTTTATATATATAAATAAACGAAAAAATATATATTTCATAATCTTTTCATTTATTTTAAGCATAAATATATAAAAAATAATAAATAAATAATAAAAAGAGCTGCGTAATTAAAAAGGAAACTTCCCGGTTAACAGGTTATAATCTAATTAAGAAAAATTAATTGTACTTGTATTTTATGGAAAATTTGTGGAATTAAATTTTTTCAGATATTAAATTATAGGGAATATACATAAAATGTATTTCATTATTATTTACTTTGAAACTCAATAAGTTTCTGTACAGTATTACAATATTACAATATTACAATATTACGATATTACGATATTATAATTGAAGAATTTTTGTGTATAAAGTTCAAGCATAATTAAAATTTAATTTGTGTTTCATGCAAAAGTACATTCAATTTATTCAATTTTTTTTATCAATAATATATAATAAAAAAACTAATTCTAAATAATACTAATTAAAATTAAATTTATTTTAGATTTTTATTTTAGATCCACAGTAATATGTGGATAAATGATCCGCCTGGAGAAACAAAAGATCAAAATCGTGTAAACGTTGTTGATTACAAAAAGGCGAAAAAAGACGGGCGTATTTTCTTTGATTAATAATTGAATGAATATAAAAAGATTTATAATAAAAAAAAAAAAAGTACCTCGAACTTCTAAGAGTTTAGAAGTAAAGAGTAAAAAGAAAAGTACAATAATACACATATAATACAAAAATATAATACATGTAAAGAAGACAAATAAACATTCTCAATAAATCCTTAATATGCTTTGTGTTATGTTTGTACATTTCCTTAACACGTTGCCGCAAATAATGGCTATAGCCGTCCGATCTTCCTATTTCTGAGCACGATCGTCAAATTAAAAGTGTGCGGCAACGCAACAAATAAAAAAAAAAAAAAAGAAAACAAATTTTCAATCATATACTTTCATTACAATACTTTCATTTCTTCTTTTTCATTCTGACACAAAGATAGTTTAAAAAACAACTTAAATATACAATGGCATTATTACTTATCCTTATTCTTATTTTAAACTAAATTTTATGTTGTTAATGCTATCTGAAGAAGTACTTGTTCAAGTTTGAAAAGTTCTTGAAAAGTTATAATTCCATATTCTCAAATACATTGGATATTTGTTGCATAGTATCATTATTAAAGAATTTTGCAAGTTGTTCCTCAGTAGGCATATTAATAAACAATTGCTCATTAGAAATGCAATAACCGTTTTCTTTTGGTACTATAATAAATGTTCTATTGAAATAGCGTAACTGATTATTCGATTCGTTGAAAAATCCTGTTAGCTCGATCAACATTATTTGTTCCTGTAATTGTAAGAAAGACAAAATAAATACTATCCTATGATTTAACAATTTATTTATATAAAGCTTTTGAAAGAATTGTTATTTACTTTCTACAAAAGATATTTACTTACAGTTAAAACATTGACATCCATTGTATTTAAATAGTGTTTTGTCTTTGGTAGTTCTGTTATAAGAGATAGAACTTGTAATTTACCTTGTTTTAATAATTTCTGTCTCTCATTGCAATTGGTTATTCTTAATAAATTTCTATCTTTTGAAAAATATACTCTTAATCTGAAAATGTCATATATATATATATATAAATAAAAAGAGAAAGAAATGAGAACATAAGAAATAATATATATTATCATTTGCTTGCTTGCTTACTCGTCACTATTTCCTACAGTTAAACTGTATTGTGCATTTTCATGATACGCATTCAATAACGGGTGCCTATTTTCGCTATCAAAAATAGAAAAATATTCTGACACGAACACGTCTGCTATATTTTGTCCCGAAGCATTATTAACGAATAATTTTTGAGTCAGAGGCAATTCTTTTACATCATCAATGTCAAATAATATTGGAGGCGGTAATTTCACGTAATCCTGTAAAATACATTATTATACCTTTAATATCTTATATGCATAATTGAATACAATTTTGTCTATGGTATTCGATAATTAAGCTTTATGCTTACCAAAAATAGAAGTCTTGGAAATATTGTGCGTACATCTCTATATAACATTAGTAAATAATTAATTAACATTAGTTGAAAGAGAAAAAAAAATCATGTAAAATAGTACATTACCTATTATAGTCGTCCCTATTTTTGTACTTTGTGCGCACAGGATTATTTGTCAAAAAAAGAACTTTCAATCGTAATGCTTTTATATAGTTTAATTGCTCAATTATTTGAATCTACGATAGATACATATTACATGTATAAATGTAATTAGAGATATATAATATATAATATATATAAATTATATACCTTATTATCGCTTAAATCAAGCATTTGTAATTCAGGTAATTGTCTATGTATTAGTTTAAGACTTTCAAGTGTGTTTAACTTGTTACCTCTTAAACGTAATGCTTGTAACTTAGGTGCATATTCGTGCAAAGAATCTAACACGATCTTCATTATGGCTGGTTGATATAGGGGGTAAAAATGATGCTTAAAGTCTACAAGAAAAATCGTGAATTAAATATTTCTTCATAAAGATACAAAAAAATCATAAAAAATTAGTTTCACCAACCTTCTTTAGTATAAAATAAAGATAAATCTATACAATTTCGGTTTAGAATATTTGATGTAGCTATAACCTTTTTTATTTTTGTTTTTACATCATCATTGATTTCACACTGTGGTGGATATTCTGATGTAATGCTGACTCGAAATCCATGTTCATTAAAAATATTAATATGAATTCTATTCAATTCAAATGCTATGTAATATTCATAGATGTAAAAAGACATTTCGTTTTCAGATATGTTTAACTAGAAATTATTACAAAAAGAAGACTTAGAAAGTTAAGTTATAAATACATAAGTAGCACAGGTAAGATATTTACCATTACAGGTAGAATACTTGTCTCTCTAAATCTTGCGCTATTCAGCGCTAATTGGAATTGACTCCAAGGATTTTCATAAGCTTTACTAAATGATACCTATAAAATAAGTGAGTAAATGTTTCCATTTAAGTAATACTCTTTTTGTATAAGTGATGACGAATAGACAAAAAATACTTACTACACATTTAAACCACTCAGCTTTTGGGTTTATAAATGCTTTCGAGTTAGAATTAATATTATTTGCTAACAGATGTAAATTACTATTACTTGAATGAGGTAGACTTTGATTCATTCCATGAGTGATTTCTTGTCTACTATTTTTATTAGAATCTGCCATTTGAACAAGATCATTTGATATCAAACCTAAATTGTTTGATATATTCATGCTCGATATTTGTTGAGGTTTAAAAAACACGCGACTTGTACTAGCACCGCTTCCATTGTTCGTTCGTCCAGATAGATTATTGATTTCTATATGATATGATATGATATGATATGATACACAATATAGGTTAATTTAATATAGACAATGCAATTATTATCACAATTATGTAAAAATGCATGAAATTAATAAACGTTCTATTTGTACATTTTTTCATTTTTTCTATATCTTCATAAAAAATTGTGAATTATTTATCAGTGAAAAATGAATTGATTTAAAATTAACTGTGTTATAAACAAAACGAATGTTATTACTTACCAAATGTTTTATTTTCAAAATTTCTCCTTCCCTTCCTTTTGCCTCGTTTTCTCCGTATTGATTTCTTAGATTTTGTAGATTTTGTAGATTTTGTTGATTTTGTAGATTTTGTAGATTTTGTAGATTTGTTCGACTTTTTCGACATTTCGAAATGATTTCAAAACAAATTATATAACCACGTGCTTCCAAGTTATAAACAAAAACAAAGTACTGATTCAAGTTCTAATCTATATGTAAATGTGTTCGCACTTAATTAAATAAAAACTCGTTGATTGTATAAACTTTCTTATTATTTTTGTCTACCTTACGAATAAAGTCTAAAATAAATAGTAATTAATCAATTTATTTATTTATTTATTACTTAATATTTATTATTTACTATTTGTTTAAATATTTTGGCGTCGTAACTACGTAACGACAGCAATGCTAGCCAACTGTCGAAAGACTACTGTAAACTGGATGGGCAATATTTCCCAAACACAAACACTATCTCAGTAACGTATATACTTCACTCAAATATGAGGTATCATTGCTGGTAATCCATCTTCTGGTTTCTGTCACTGTAATGCGGGACGACTGGGAAGGGCCCCTTATGCGTATCTACTGTTACACATAGATACGTCCATGGGAACAGTCGATAGCACGTGCGCCTAAATAGTGACGTCAGTATGAACATGCATATTCCACGTATGTGCTGCGCAAGCGTACAACTATGCAAGCTTAATGCAAGTACCACCTCAAATTAGTAACTACCAATAAGAAACTAGGAATAATATCTAGGAACATATTACTTTGAGGTTCAGAAAATGAAAGGATTATATTATTTATACTTCGTGGAAGGGGCAAAAGAACAATTGAGTTTGATTAATTGTGCGACTATACTTAGTACAATTATTCACAAAAATGTGAGCTTTGACAAAAATATAAAAGATAAAATGAGTGTGTTAAAACATTAATCAATTTGTAAAATGTTTTATGTCAAACCACCGAATGGGCAAATACCACTGCATGTAATGGAAAAATGTGTACATACTAGATTAGAATATTTAGAATATTTATATACTAATGAAGCTAATGATTTCGAAGGAAACTTTCAATATTTATTAGAAAATTCAGCGTATGATAAAGTTGGTCATTTTATATTAAGGTAACAGAGAATTGAAAAGAAGAAGTATGATCATCGGTATCAAACTACGTTGATATTTCAGATTAATAGCTTCAACGTCAGCTGACTTATGGATGTACTGGCTTCCAAGAGAAACATTATTATTGAAACATCGATTAGATAATATTACACCTAGACAATTAAATAATCTTTTTCGAAGTATTATACGACAATTGGATACGATAGAAAGTATAGAAAATGAAATAAGTCTGAATATACGAAGATTATGTTTATTTTATTTAAAATCTACAGTCTTCAAACATATCATGTCCAAAAATCATGCCAATGATTGCTGCGTTTTTCAATTTAAAGGTATATGAATGTATATAAAATAATGAACATGTACTCATAACAGATTATATTTACATATGCACATACAAATCTATTATATCATTTTCATTCAAGTAAGATTTGAGCTAATACCGGAATTAATCAAACATAGAGAGGTTGACTTAACGGCTGGATATGCTGTCATATATTGCTCACAATGGAAAAAACTTTTGGTAGCATTATTTAATACTTACTTGATATCTGATTTAAAACATATTAAAACGCACGCGTGGCATGTCAACAATGATGTTAGACTTCAATCCCTAAAGCAACAAGTTCAATTTTATATATCACCAAACAGATCTACCATTGGAAGAGTAAATAATAATAATATAAATGTCGAAGTAGAAAAGTTTCCGTTGTGCATGCAACATCTACATAAAGTATTGAAGAAAAGATATCGTCTTAGTCATTACGCTCGCTTCTATTATAGTCTATTTTTAAAAGAAGGTGGAATGAAAATAGACGATGCTATTCGATATTGGAAAGAGGAATATTCTAAACCGCATACATGTACTTCTGTTTGTACGCATAATTGGCAAACTGATGAGAAAAAATTTGTATACAGTATTAGGCACCTTTATGGTTTAGAAGGATCTCGTAGAAATTATAAATCTCCCAGTTGTACAGTTATGTGTGTATGTATTTAATTTATCTTTTATTATAAATTATATCTTCAGAGTAATCATTTTAAAAATAATATTTAGCAATATATATATGTTGTTTATTCATATCAATTTTAGGCTCAAGTCCCAGGAGCCGCATACGAAGGAGGTTGTCCATTTAAACATTTTGATTCGGATAAGCTTATTAATCTTTTAAGTAGCTCATTAACGAAAGATAAAATAGATCAATTTCTTCAAATTATGCCTTCGCAAAAACCAGAAATATTATGTTCTTCTTATTTCAAATTAGTACATAAAAATTACGACGATAATGTCATTATTAACAGTCCAATACAATACTATGCAATGGCAAATAATTAAATTATTGAAAAAATAGAGAAGGAAGTATTAGTATTATATATATATATATATATCTATATAATTGATTTTATATGATAAGAATAAAGTACCATTTGACATACAAACTGCTGCAGAAAATATCTATAGACATATTTACAATATGATGTTTAAGAACTTACGGTAATTAAGATTTAGCAAATATTTTCAAACCATTACTTATAACTTCATGCGTAACACCATTTTCAACCAAAATAGACAGCACTCCTATTTTATTTAAATCATTTATGTTTCGTTGTTCGTCATCAAAAAATAACATATCTTTGTACTCGACGTTAGATAATTTTTTGATCCTAAAAAAGATTATTCATATTATAATTAATAGGTTCTTTTATATTTTACTTACAAAATATATTTTTATGGCATATATATGTATTAAACACATAATGCGTTAAAAACTTACTGTGAAAAATGTGCTGTTTTTACACCAGGATATATTTCTTTATATTTAAAATATTTCTCCCAATCGAATAAGTTCACCAATTGTTTAGCACCTTTAATTTCTGAAGTACGCGATGCTATGCCAAGTTCATATCCTTCCTCCAACAATTTATTTAATACATCAGGTACATCTTTATAATAACGTATTATTTGACCATGTGCATCAATTATTTCATTATTTTTCCTAAAATATGTCACAGTTTATATTAAATTAAATTCACATTTATATTTATTTCAGTATTTAAATATTTATATTGAGAAAATGAAAAATATATTAAACACGTGGTTGAATATTGAGAAGATGCAATAAAACAGCAAGTGCATATTATTTTAATTGAACATACCGTTTTATAAATGGAAGTGTTACATGTGTATCAACCCAGAAAGGCCATAACGTATAATCTGAGAATAAAAAAGTATTAAGAAGTAATAATAATAATAATAATAACATATTATTATTAAATAAAAAAATATAATATACATATATATATATATATATATAATTCTAACCTAAATCAAAAACAATTATTTTGGGTTTCTTTTCTGACATGTTTAATTGAATTTTTCTAATAATTTAAATACACTTTATTTAATCGTTTCAAATTAATCAGAATCATTTATTTATCATACTTAATAAACATTACATATGGTATATCTTTATAAAGGATTAAAATTAGTATTACGTTTACACATATGTTGGTAGTACTGTATAACCACATCTGTGAGTTAATTATATGCATTCATTCACGAATAAAATTTACGAGATAAAATTGATAGATAGTAATCTAATCATAAAAATGAGACATATGTAATATGAGGAGGTCAGAATTAGTGATGTGGTATTTTCTGCCAATAGGAGAAATACGTGTCATAAAAAAATCATATTTAAGTAAGAGTGGGGTAACGGGTGTTCTTTTAAAAGCACTGTCTTAACATTAATAAAATGTCTATTAGAAGTTTTCTTTCTACTGATCAACTCCTCATTTTTGCAAGACACGTACTATAACTAAAGACACTTAGCTTACATTTTTACATTTTCTTATATTGCCACGTAGTATTGTTTTTAAAGTAAATACTCCATTAATAGTAAAGATTTAAATAGTGATTTTATAGTAAAGAAACAGAGTCATATCTCAGTATATTTTAATAATAATAAATACATTAAATAGATTTTTTTCTTTATTTGCTTTAACTTATTTAAAAAAAAAATATATATATATATATACATATACATAAAATATGAGTGAGAAAATGTTACCATTCTATGTATCTGGTTCAGTGGTTCGAGGTTTTGGTAGAGGCTCTAAAGCATTGGGTATTCCTACAGGTATATTACTATTTATATATTATACTTTTTACGTATAGTAATTATCGATAATATTATCATGTAAATAATGTAAAAAGAAAAAAACATATTGTCTTATCTAAATTGTATTACATATATATATTATTATTATTATTTTCTTTTTTACGAGTTACATTAAATTAAATAAATATATAGAAATTGAAATTCGAATGCAACCCTTTTAAAAAAATGTTCCTGTCCGGAAAATGTTAAATTATTTTTAATACGTAAAATATCTAACGATAACTATCTAATATTTGTGTTCAATTTTATCTTTTAACAGATTGTTATCTACGATAAGCTTTTATAATGTAATTACATTAACGTTATCTCTCTAATATAGCAAATATAAATTTGTAAAATTTGCTACTCTACACTAGCGACATATAGGTCAAAATTCAGCTTATTAATTATGTACTTTAGGCGGGTCAGTATCTATATATTAATTTTTGTATTTATCACTTATAATAATATAATTATAAGGATGATATGTTTAAGCAATATTTATATATTTTTATTTATATAGAATCATATATAAAATTTGGCTGTAACTTTTAAAAGTGTATGCGACCGCCGATCGCGAAAGATATATATATATATATATATATATAGATATAGATATAGATATAGATATAGATATAGATAGTTCATTTTTAATAATCAGATCATTATTTTGCAGCAAATCTTCCAGAATCAGTTGTTGATTCGTTACCTGAGAATTTTAATACTGGCGTATATTACGGTTGGGTAGCTTTAAATGGAACGATATATAGAATGGTTGCAAGTGTTGGATGGAATCCATTTTATAAAAATGAGAAAAAAACATTTGTTAAGTAACAAACAATGTATATGTATATATTTACATAATATTTAATTTTCTATAATGAAATACATCTTATATGTATACTTATTAATCTAACTTAATAATATATTTTTTGTTTGTTTGTTTGTTTGTAGGAAGTTCATATATTAGAAAAATTTACAAATGATTTTTATGGAGAGGAACTTAAGGTAATTGTTACCGGTTATATAAGACAAGAAAAAGATTTTACGTCAGCAGGTAAATTATTTTCTTATATATATATATTTTGTGTATATTAAGAAATTATTGAAAAAATATAAGAATAAATTTGTTTTTAGACGAATTGATCAAAGAAATTAAAAATGATATTGCAATTGCTGAAAAAGAATTAGACAAACCAAATATGTTAAAATATAAATGTGATATTTTTTTAACAAAGTAACAAATTTTATTGGATTATAATAGTATTTTTTTTTTTTTTTAAATATTGATTGTAAAATAATGTAATTATGTACATCGAATTTTAGGGAAACATATTATCTTTAGATTTGATACAAATCTATTCAACAAAATTATTAAGTATTACATTGATTTAATAAACCAGTGTTCATAAATGTTTATACAAAATAAAGAGAACATTATTTACATTAGCATTTAACAAAAAAAGATGTATAAGATATGCAATATTTTGTTATTTAAATTATTACTATTTTAATTTGATCCTAATACATTCACTATTGCGAGGTATCGTGATTTTGTTCTATGGAAGATGAAAATGGAGCTGAAGGTGGGGGTGGAGGTGGATATGAAGGTGGAAATAGATATGGAGATGGGGTTGCAAATGGTAACCTCATTGAAGTTGCATATGGAGCTTGTTGCGATTGAAAGTGTAAATTTGCACGTGGAAACCTCATTCTAGAAGGTGAAAATGGATTATGTCCATTATAAGAAGTTGATGATGAATTAAATTGAAATCTCGGAAACATTCCAAAAGGAAGCCGAGGATTTGGTGGTATTGAAGTATTATTTGTATCGTTAGTTTGTAAATTATTTGAATATGGCATATATCCGTAAAATTGGTCATTGAAATAGTTGAAATTTGCACATGGTGGTCTCTGTGATGGATTATATGAATTAGAAGGAGATTGACTGTCATTATATCTAACTTGAGATTTTCTTCTTTGAAAGTTTTTCTTCGTATTTCTATTCCAAGGATGATTAGTCTTAAAACCAAATGCTAAAGAAAACAAAAACTAGTCTTAGTAATAGTATTTACAAGAAATTGAACATTTAACTTACTTGAATTACGTGCTTGTTTATTCGGAACAGTACTATTCTCCGAATTAATCGTCTCTGTAGTTTTCTTTTTCATTTCATAATATCTCATTTCTTCTTCATCATCAGAGAAATCTGGGACCTCGTCTTCTTCAATGTCCTCAGCATCATTACCTCTTTGACTAAATATATTTAATATTATTACGTAAATTATATTTAATAAACAGTTTAGTAACGTGCATGTAATAGAACAATTTCATAATTAAAACTTACGTGAATAATTCGGATAAAAATACATATTTTGTGTATGACGAGTCTGGACAATAATAAACTTCCATTCCAACACTAATTCCATTTTCTTGTATATGCTCTAAACTATTAAATCGTACAGCATAATGTGGATCTGTAACTGGACCAAATACATCTTCTATTCTTCCCAATGCTTTTCTTCCTTTATCTACAAAAAGGACTGTATCTAAATTAAGAGTTCGTCTATTATCACTTGTAGGATGTATAATTACTGTTGATTCTACTATCCAGGAAATCTAAAATTAAATTCAATTTTAATTCAAATTTAATTTAATTAATAAATAATAAATAATTAATTAATAAAAATTATTATTTATTTTTCATTAGAAAAAGAAAATCGCTAAGAATTGGTATTTTACTTACTCTTCCAATGGATACGCACGAGTTTTCAGGTACTGATATTTGTAGATCTTGTATTAAAGGTAAATTTAATTCACTGTCTTTTTTCTTTTCATAACATGTTTTATTATGTTTTATTTTATTTCTACAAAAAGAATATACATACATACATATATTTAATCATTTATAGGAATGAAAATATATAAAAATAAATACTCTACTTACTTGTTTTCTGAAATATTATTATCTTCATCTGATTCACTGCTACTGCTAGAATCGCTTTCACTGGTGACACTTCTTTCACTATCACTGCTGTCGCTATCACTATCACTGCTATCACTATCGCTATCTTTACTAGAAGACTGTTCACCGGTCACACGATATGCATTTGTATTTGCATAATCTAAAACTTCTTCATTTTTATTTAAATCCAAACTCTCTTTTGTATCGAGGCATTTGTTATCTTCAGTATCTACATCAGAATCGTACTCTTGTGCAATTATAGAAAGAGATGTTATTTTTTCTTCCTTTGTTTCCATGATTATTGTTTTTTATACAGTTATATGTTCATAGTTCAGTAGCACGTGTTCATACAGATACAAATGATTAGTATTCGGAATAGTATACGGAAGTAATGAATGTGTAGGGATCCTATAGGAGGGATGCGCCATGTACATTGCTGGGGGACCGGAACTTGATTTTGCGCGCGAATGATTCAAACATTGAAATAATTATGAAATAATGAATTGCATCAAATACAGAAAAAAAATATATAAATATATTTAATGATAATTAAAAATGTATATTAAAATAGAATAGGTTACACGAAAAAATTATTATAAATTCAATAAGAAAGACTTAATTATGTATGATTTGATAAAAGGCATTACAGTATTTTGAAATTTCAAAACAATTTGTAGGAATTTATACAATTTTGATAAATATAATTATTTACTATACATATTATATTAATAATAATAATAATAATAATAATAATAATAATAATAATAATAATAATAAGACAAATATATAAAACAATTAAAAAATAGATTTATTTTAACATATTTTTATTTYTYAATGTGGTACATGGTCATAGTTTTACTCGAACTGAGATTTGTTTGCTTAAAATTTTGTAAATTTTTGCGATTATRCCTACGCGATGGTATAAGGTATTTACGGTYTTGCGTAGTTCTTGTTGAAYTTTTGCAGTAATTAAGAATACAYTGTCGAACCATGATTATTCATCACAAACAATWAGTTTGTAAACAAACGATAAGTTATAGGTTAGGTTTGTACATTTATACTTGTAACTATTAAATGAGTAAATTAAACTTACACTTATAGAAAACTACTAAAAAAAANAAAAAAAACAAAATAATTAAACATAAATATCACAATAAAAACTATAAGTATTCCAAACTTAAACTAACCACAGCCGTTAATACATACTAAAGATAAACATGGCTGCGCGTTGGATCGGAAGCGGTCCCCCAAAATTTTCAGCCAATGGCACATGAGCTGAATATGTATGGCGCATCCTTCCTACAGGATCCCTAGAATGAGAGCAGTACGCGTATGATAATTTGAGGCCCTGTACGATTCAAAATTCGTGGTGTTTGATCCATTTGGAATTTCGAAAACTTGATGACCTTATGATAGGGTTTTGAATTTGATGACTAAAAAAAAAAAAACACATTTTGAAAATCTCGTCCGAGAAATTGTCGGATTTCAAATTTTCCCGGGGCGTACGATAATTTTCCGGCTAAAGAGAACTAAAGTTTCTGAGATCACTGGTCATATAAAAAAAAATAAAAGATAACATTAAAATTAATATAAATGACAGAATATTTACAATGCTTCGAAATACTTAAGGACATTTTGAAAAAGTGTTAAGAATTATTATATGCGATTTACTGTTACTTCGTATGAAAAGCTTTGTTTTTTAAATTAATCCCAGTCAAAGTTCTGTAAATAAATATGCACATTTATTTGTAATAAAAAAAAAAAAAATGGAAAGTCGAAATTTTGACAACAATAAGAACCAGAAACTTGAAACACAATATTATGTTGCTAAGAACAATTCTACTCTTACACGTGTAAGGGCAATGTCAGGACATGTATCAGAGCATTGCGATGTAAATGTAAGTACTTTACGTCTGGGAATGCTGGTTAAATGCCTGGAAGATTTAAAGGATGGAGCGCTCAGAATTTCTATCATCGATGTATCAGGATCAAATATTTGGTTTGACACCGAATGGCGCTGTCTAAAAACCGATCTCATTCCTATTCCACAAGAAATATGGGAATTTCTTATTGCGGTTTCAGTACCACAAGAGAGAGTTCGCCTGGCCAGTAATATATTGCTTTGTGGAGTATTGGAGAATCTATGCATAAATGATAAAGTATGGTATCATCCTAATTACAAGCTTAGAGACCGCAAGGAATTAGCTATTATTAAGTATATTGGTCCAGTATCTCAGCTTGGTCAAGGAATTTATTTTGGTCTTGATATACCGGTAAATTTATCCTAAACAACAATTGCAAATGCATATGGATATCTCTGATCTTTTTAATAATATATTTATAAATATAGACATGTTTTTAATAAATGATTTTAGGACAGTCAAAAAATATCTAAAACATCTATACTATGTCAAGAATATTTTGAGTCTATGCATCCAAAAACATTTGCAACATTGAATGAAATTTCTGTTTACAAAGCGGATCTTCCAATTAGAAATACAGATCAAAGTATATTATCGCGTAAATCATTTTTACGAGTCGTAGAAAATTGAATGATATCTTTATATAGATTCTTTTTTTCATTACAGTTTTAATACCAGAACCAATTGCGCACAATGCCCCTACTAATGATAAAAAAAAATTTACTTTGGATCCAAGTTTTTTAGCTCTGTTAGAAACGTTTACACCTGACAGTAGCAACAATAATAACAATAATTGCAACACTACATCTTTACCAGATGAACATCACTATGCCATGAGATCATTAATTCCACAAACTACAGATAACAAATTAGGTAATGTTAACAATAATAGAAATGTTTTATTTATTATTTATTTATTATTCGATGAGGGAACAATTCTTACCTGGTTTGATTTTCCCTATATACTAAAGAGTTAATAATAGTTAACTGAGGTGTTTAAAAATAGCTCTAGAGTTAGTCTATTCTGAATATACCGGCAAGTGTGTAACATGTTGTGAATATAATCTAAGTTTAATCAAATAATGGCTACTTTTCAAAATATTCCAACTTTTGTATTAAATTATAAATGGAGCAGTGACATAGAATCAAGTGCATATAGCGAATTAGAAGAAAGTTATGATCATGTAGACAAATTTAATCATTGTAAGAAAAAATAATTGTACAAAATATATTCAATATTGAAAAATAATAATATTACTAATGATGGTATTCTATTATAGGTAATATGTCAGAGGAAAATGGAAATAAGAATTCTAAACGAGATAAGCCTTCGGACTTAATAGTGGGTTCAAATGTCAAAGTACTTTTAGGTTCAGATGTAAGAAATGGAACTCTTCGTTGGGTTGGAACACCACCTGGTACAAATACTAGTAAATTAATGGCAGCAGTTGAATTGGTAAATAATAATCATAATAATGTCTTCATTCAATTTCTCAATAATAAATAAGATTTAGTTTATGATCTAATAACAATTGGAAGCTATCTAATTCATTCATTCTTTCTCCATTCACTCATATGTGCTAATAACTCTTTTAAATGTCTCTTATATAACTGGATATATATTCTGTCCTGTTGTAATCTTTATCCTGTCCTTTATATGTCTAAAATTTTATATGTAATTGATATAAAAACAAATTATTATTACTTTAGGATGATGTACATCCATCGGGTACAGATGGTACTTACAATGAAACAAGATATTTTCAATGTCAACCTTATAGAGCTGTTTTCACGGATATTGAGCAATGCTTTCCATATGAATCTGGACTAGTAAGTATTGCATGAAATAAAAATAATATTACACTTTGAATCTCCCTTATATTTATAAATGCAATTTTAATTAATAGATAAAACTTTCTGATGATCGATTTTCTTCTATGAATACTAACAATTTTGGAAACATGGAAAGTGTAATTATAGGAATGGTTCGACCTATTTCAGTAAAAGGAAATTTAGAGAGTATTTGTGGAAAATTTCGAGGAATACAAGGTCATCATAATTCATGTTATTTGGATGCTACCCTTTTCAGTATGTTTGCTTTCACTAGTGTATTTGACAATCTGTTATTCAGGTAATTTAACACATGTATTATCACATTATTATTTTAAAGAAACTAACATAAATAAAAAATGTTTTATTATTTTTATTAAACATAGACCGCCGAATGAAAAAGATTGTCCCGAGTATGAAGAAGTTCAGAAAGTATTACGCGAAGAAATTGTTAATCCACTTAGAAAAAATATATTTGTAAGTGCAGATCGTGTTATGAAATTACGAACGTTGCTTGAAAGGTTGTCTTCTGTGTCTGGTCTTACAAGCGAAGAAAAAGGTTCTTATTATTTTGATTGTTTTTATAAATTACTATTGAAACAATACTAAACGAAATATTATTTTCTACAGATCCAGAAGAATTTTTAACATCATTGGTAGCACAAATCCTAAATGCTGAACCATTTCTCAAATTAAGTTCTGGACAAGATGCGTATCATTATCAACTTTTTGTTGAAAAGGATGATCATCTAAGTTTACCAACAGTACAACAACTATTAGAACAAAGTTTTCTCACGAGTAATATCAGATTGAAGGAAGTTCCTTCTTGTCTTATTATACAAATGCCAAGATTTGGGAAATCTTTTAAAATGTACCAAAAAATTCAACCAACTCTCTTACTCGATGTGACGGATATAATTGAAGATTGTTAAGTATTGTCCATTATTAACAGAATAATTATTGTTGTAAGTATATATTGATAATATTGATTAATAATAGTATATTTTTATTTATAGCTCCTAGACAATGCACAGTATGTGGCAAATTGGCTGAATTCGAATGCAAAGAATGTTATGGAGAATGCGGAGTAGGACTTGAAAGCATTGCTTTTTGTGTAGAATGTTTAAAAACGGTAATTTTAATTATATTTCATAATATAATTTCATTTTAATATCATGATACGTGTTGCTAATTATGGCATTATCTTTTAGGTACATCGTCATGAACATAGAACAAATCATGAGCCTAAAAAACTTAGCGTACCAGTAGAATTTGCTATTCTACAAGAGCATTGTCCCGTACCACGTTTATATTTAGAACTTTCAGCAGTTGTTTGTATTGAAACATCGCACTACGTTTCGTTTGTTAAATGTGGTTCTGGTTCGGAAGCACCATGGTGCTTTTTTGATTCTATGGCAGATAGAAAAGGTATTATTTAACATTATTTATATATTTTATTTAATAACTAATTGTTATTATGAATATTTATTTTTAGGTGAACAAGATGGGTATAATATACCAGAGATGGTACCATGCCCGGATTTTCCTTACTGGCTAAGCGAAGACGGTGGCAATTGTTTAATGAAATTAACAGACGATCGTAATTTACCGGAATATGCAAAACGACTTTTGTGTGACGCATATATGTGCATGTATCAATCACCAGATGTTATGATGTACAAATAATTTCAAAGTCTTTTTTTCTGCTACTGAAAAAGTGTAGAAAACAGCTTTCATGCCAGCAATGAATCCGCGAACATAATTCTAAATTAATTTTAATGAACAAGGTTTCGTTTCAAAAATAAAGGCTCAAATAAGGTGATGGCTTCTCAAAATTTAAAAAGAAAATCTTAATTTTCTGTGAAAACATCGCTCCATAATATATTAGTAAATTATTTATTATTTCCTTTTTAAAAAAACGTAGAGCGTTTTTAATTTTAATGAGTTATTGATTATATTTGCGCACATAGTACAATTATTTTTATATATCTTATATATCAATTGCTTTTTTTATCATTGCAAGTCATTAAAGATTAAAAAATAATCTAAATATTCTTGCAAATAAATTTCAATATTTTTCAATTCTGTAAAAATATTTATTATTTGGTGTAAATTACTCTATTTTATATGAAGAGATAGTATTGCATATAAATTGTAAATTGCAGTCATTATTATCGTAAAATATAACATGATAGTGCAAACAAATTTAACTAATGTAAGAGAAATTTTATTTTTAATTATTTCAATTTTTAAAGTGCAATTTATATTATGTGATATACATATTAATGTACATTTGATTGTACTCGATGTTTCTAATGAAAAAAAAATGTAGATTGTTTCGATTATTATTTGATTAGACAAGTGATTACAAATTTAGATTAAAGTTAGCAATCTTCTTGGCTAAACGGAATTAGTTCTCAAGTTAATTGAATAAAAAATTTTTAATTTATATATATATATATATATATATATATAATTTGTTACATTATATCTCTTGTTTAAGTTACAAAAATTTTTTGTATTACTACTTTACGGCGTTTTTAACAAATATGTTAATTTATTTATTACAATAATTACTAGAAATAAATATATTTACAATAAGGCATTTATTTTGTCATGTAAACTTATTTCAATTGTATTCTCGGAAATTGTACGCAGTCTTCAATCCACTTAGCTACAGTGAGCAAACGTTTTTCATGCAATGGTGGTGCCATTAATTGTAATGACAATGGTAATCCCTTTTTAGATAATTTAATTGGTACACTAACTGCTGGAATTCCGGCCATATTTGCTGATTGCGTACAATAATCCTGAATTAAGCATTGTGTTTGATTATCCAGTAATATAAATTCATCATAGATAGGAGCATCCGTTAAGGTAGTAGGTGTAAGTAACAAATCAATATTATTATCCCAAGCATTATCAAAATCCTGAGCAATTAATCTACGTAATTTCATTGCTTTTACATAATACTGTTCATAGTTTTCTTCCAATAAAAAGAAGTTTCCAGTGAATATACGACTTTTAACAACATCGTTAAAACCTGCAGATCTTGATTTAGTGTATAATTCAGTTACCGAATCATTTTCATCAGCACGATAACCATATCGAGTACCATCATAACGTGCCATATTACTTGCCACATTACAACAATTTAATACTGAATAACATACTATAGAATAATCTGTATGTGGCAAAGAAACTGGAATAACTTTAGCGCCTGCTTTTTCCATTAGAGATGCGATTTCATCCCAACATTTCTGTATTTCTACACTTATGCCATCAACTTTATATTCTTTTGGTATACCAACACGTAAATTACTAATATCAATTTTATCTGGTATCGAGAAAGGCTCGTAATCTTTTTTTATAGTAGTAGAATCTGCATCATCATGTCCTGCTATATTATTTAAAACCAAAACAGCATCTTCTACATACCTGGTAAGAATACCAGGCACATCCATTGAATTTACCAAAGGTATGAGACCATTTCTTGAAACTAATCCATAAGTTGGTTTTAATCCAATAAGACCGCAGTAAGAAGCAGGATTACGAGTAGAACCACCAGTATCAGATCCTATCGCTGCATAACAACTGTGAGTAGCTACTGCTACTGCAGAACCACCACTACTACCACCTAAAGAAATATCTACTGTTTAATCCTGTCAATTAATAGAATTAATTAATATTAAGGTATATACCTGCTATATGCCACTTGTCGTTGTTAGTATGAACTTGTTGTTTTATCTCTGTACCATCCTCGTATACGTAATATTTAGATAATATTTCAGAACCCCATAGATTTATCGTTGGTCCATAATATGAATCAATAGTTCCTGAGCCCATAGCAAATTGATCCAAATTAGTTTTGCCAACTAAGACTGCACCCGCATTTCTGAGAGACTGATAAACGGTAGCATTATACTCAGGAACAAAATTTTGTAACATAAAAGATGCACAAGTCGTTGGCACTGCTTTGGTACAATAATTATCTTTAATTGCAATAGGAACACCATCGAGATCACTTAAAATGCAATTTTCCTTTTGTCTAGTATCTGCATCCTGAGATTGTTCTTTTGCTAAGTTTTTGGTTACTGTGATATAAGCATTGAGTGGTTTAATTATTGATGTAAGATCGACAGAAGCTTTGCAAATTTCTGATGGTCGTACATTGCCAGCATTTAATTTCTGTCTTATACATTTTATCGACGAGGATAATAAATTGTTCATTATTTTATGAGGTTAGGTTCAAAACACTCTCACATTGCACGTGTTATGTACCGGTTATATCGTAGTATGTATTTAGAAATAGAAACAGATTAGAGTAATTGGTAAGTCATAATAATCACTTTTACACACATACAATACTTTTTTTTTAATTACTTATATTAGTAATTATAATTCTTCGATTACTTGAAAAAATCCGTAACAACATTATTACAAATATAAGTGTATAACCTCACGCATTAACAATTTTTTTTTTTTTATACTTCATTCATTCTAGATTGTAAATAACGATATTAACTTAATCAATATTATCTTAATAAAGATATTAATAATATAAACATTGTATAAATAAAACTTTTAATAAATAAAAATAATATTTATGAACTTTTAGTGTAAATAAATCAAAAACATATTAATTAATTATAATGATATCAATGCAGACCATGCTGCACAATACGCATTACTGTTGTATTTGATTTTGTTCCACAAATAAGATATTGATATTGTTTATAATGAAATGGAACAATGGTTTGTAAACCATCTATTTGATGTACAAACTTTCTTTGGAATTTCTGGAAATAATAATTAAAATATTTGTACGTATACGATATATATTGAAATAATAAAATAATGTTTATTGCTTACCCCAACAAACATATATTCATAAACATAAAATTGCCCATCTTCTGTGGTTACTATAACGTAACCATCACTATTTCCAGACTCTAAATAACGAAGAATATAAATTAAATTAATTACAAAACTTATACTTTAATTAAAGTTGATATAATAATCAAAAAATTACCACCAATATAGAAACTCTGAATCCCATTGATAGACGAGTCATAAAAGAAACTTTGATAATAATAAAAATTATCAAATTTATAATTGTAATAATAAATATTTAAAGCATTTGTATCGATATCATTAAACATAATGAAATAATCATCATCGTTTACTAAACTTTTTACACTATTACTTTTACCTGGAAATCTTCTTAACGAAACAAACTAAAAAATAGTAATAATAATAAATTTATATGAAATTTAAAATCAAATGATATTGTTATCACAAATACGCATACCTTTGAAGTAATAGAATCTAATTTATAAATTAATGAACCCATCTTCGTATTTCCATCGCAAGCTATAACAATGTATATTTCTTTATTTATTTGTAAAATTTCAAGAGCTGTTGCACCATTTGTTGGAATTTCTTGATGTAAAGTTAAACTCTCGTTTTCAAAATTTAATTTATAAATGAACGAGTTGGTATTATGTGTCCTTATTATAGGATCGTAATAAATTGCCATAATTATATATACTTCATCTACAAAATAATTAATCAATTAATTACATACACATGTGTTTATATTAGTATATTTTTTATTTTAAAAAATATACCATTATAAGTAAACGTTTTAGAATCTTTAAGAAAACCCTTGACTTCAACATCCGAATATCTTTCCTTGATGAGATTAGTTGTTCCAAGTTTTTTATTATACATCCATGAAATTGTAGTAACTTCTTGATCCGTTTCTTCTCGAGTACAATGAGAATTGTAAGAAACACTGCTCGTAATAACAGCAATACCAAAACGATTGTTCGGTTCGTGCCAATTTTGTATAATGGAAGTATTGTTCCATCTCCAAACATGACAATCATTTTCCGTTAATTCAGCAACGTATTGTACTGGACACGAACAATTTTCTGGTAATCCACAAAAATGACTATTTTGTTCGCCATACATATTTAATTTTAAAATCGAATTAAATTTAACTACTTTGATCTTTTTAATAGCAGGTACTTCGATCTTCAAATTTTCTTCTTTTTCCAAATATGCAAATACACTTGGTAAAGATCTAATAATGGAAGCTTCTTTTAGAATAGCATTTTCGATAAACGTTTTATTTTCTTTCAACAAAGATATGCTACGATTTTGTAGATTGTCCAAATTATTCGTTAAATCACTCATGTTTACTCCGTTTACTAATCCAGAAACTATTATTTTCTTTGGGACATCCAACTGTGATTGAAAAATCTAAAAAAAAAATAATACAATTTAATAAAAGTATCTAGTATTATTTGATCTGTATTAAACTTACGAGATTTCCGGCGATGATCACGTTTTCATCGTTCAAAACACTGTTATAAAACTCTTCGTTTAAATTGATACCATTTATCAATGGAACATAGACATTTTTATTCACTGTTATATCGTTCACATAAGTTTTTCTACCAGAAATAATTTGAGTCGTTTTTAATGAATTCAAAACAACATCGGAAATATTGATACCATTGATGTAATTTACCACAACATTTCCTAAACATTATGAATAAAAATAAGATGACATTCTAATTTAATAATAATATAATATAATAATATAATATATCTATACCAGTTGCTTCAACTCGGCCTTGAAATTGTATATCAGAAGTTATAACGTGATCTTTGCTAAGTGTTACACGATTTTCTACAAATTCGTTGAAGTTAACATTGTCAATTGTTTCCAAAAAAATATCTCCCATAACAACAAGTTTTTTCATATGGGTATTATTTGGTAATATTTGATTAGAAAGAACCAAATCGGTAATTGGTGTATCGTGAAGAGTACCATTGTAGATGAGATTATCTATGATAACTTCGTTTAAAAAATCGATCGATCCTGTTACAACATTTTCTTCATATTTGTTAACAATTGATGCATTTAAATCAACGATAT